ACCATGGTGATCGACATCATGACACAACGATGGTCCATCTACCTTCAGCCCACAGACTTCTACCTCATGGTGGACACTGACCAAGGAACTCAAATCCTGGATAATCTACGACATTCGATCCTCGACATCCTCAATTGGTACTACCCTACTTGGAAGATTCATCAACACCTGGACGCCTTCACTACTCGGTCTACCTCATCTTTGCCGCTTGTCCCACACCCTGGCACGTCGGACACGGGCTTAGTGGTTCGGATTCAAAGCATCCCTCGTGGGCATCCATTCTTCTCACCTACCAGGGTGACCATACCGTGAAAATTTGATCGCGCGACTTCCACCCCGAGAGAAAAAAGGTGTCATTGAGGGAATTTATTTGTGCTTTGACTCCTCCCAATGGTTTGGTCTTCACTCACTGTTTCACTTTGATAGGTCGGATATTTTAGGCTCCAATACAAACTCGTGGCCCACGGCCCACGCTCATCTTCGTCATCATGGCTGCAACCCCGTTTCCGGATACGAGAAATGCTGACCTCTGAGATTTACCAAGACCAACCCGCCAGTGGAGAAGATCCTTCGTCAGTTTCGTACATCCCTCGGACGGCTCGCACTGTACCTCAAGCCCTGACTGTTCATACAATATACCTGAAAAAGATCACCTATCCCATGACCTCGCGCCAACCGGAACTCTGGATACTTGAGCGGACCCAAGGCGGACTCGAAACATGGCGCCCCGTCGAAACCTTTTGGGCAACCTTCAACTGTCTCAAGGTCCCAGAGTTCTACGAGCAATTGCTAATCATGCAGTGGCGGCTTCACTACGAGGTTCCTCCAACTTCCTCGTCATCCACAACTACTGCTCTCCATCCGATACTCCCTCATCCTGAACATTCGAATGTACACTTTGGACAACCGGTCACAGTTATCCCCGACCACACCTACATCCTCCAATCCTGCTGGGGACGCTCTGCACAGCATCATTCTCAAGGGACAACTACATCACTATATTGGCCCCCCTGGCGTACGACACCTCCTTCATCACCATCGAGGACGCGGTTGAGACAGGCTATTCCTACACCTCATACACCAACACCGGCGTCATTTTCTGCTATCAGACTGGAACAACCCAGCTGATATGTCCGACTCGAGCGTTTAGTTGACTATCTTGATCCTCAAAAAAGTGAAAGAAAAAGAATTACTATTTCTCTTCGATGTCCTTTGTTTGAACCACACCTTGATTGTATTGACTGCCGCAGGTTGCTGATGGATTATAGTCATTATTTCCCGCAGCTAAGCTGATCTCACTCGATTTCTATTTCAAGCCATGGCTCCACAAGACCTTCGGCATCACCCATACCGTGCTACCTCCAATATCGAAACATCGGTAGGCACCCAACCTTGTTCTTGGTATGCTGGACCTGGCCAACTACCTGCTGGTATTGATCCACCCCCTGACAGACCTATTTTGATCATTGTGGACTACTCTCCGTTGCAATCCCTAGCGCATCCTAGTGAACTGGATCATGCATCGTTCACTGCTTTGAGAGGACACAATTTCCGATGTGCGACGGCTGGAGAACTTGAAGCTCTTTTCACTTGGGCACAATTGTTCCCTCCTCATGAAGCTAATCAAATTGAATTCACTCATCTACGGCCTCAATTGACGACTCGAATCCGCGCCCAATGGGACATTCGGATGGTCCCCTCGGACCTGGAGTTCCGCTATGCCGATCTTACCGGTGATGTTTTCCAAGTTCGCAACGATTGGACCATTATGGTTGTTGGACGAGTACCAACCTGATTGGCGAATTCGACAATATAGTTAAACCCTCTACTCTTTTTGTTCCAGGTACCCAACAACCTTTTATTTTACGATTGACTTGTCACAAAGTTCGACGGCGTCATCCTTCCATAAGTTGAGTTTTGTCTCCTTCATCGACGTGCGAAAACAAGTGTGGTTCCACTTTCTCGTCGTCTTCTTCACATAATCAATTTGATGCTGCAGTTTCGCTCTATTTTTCACTCCTCCACTTTTGCGCTACCAATGATTTCTACATTTCCCCGCCTCGTGACCCAACTGCTAATTATTATTTCTCCGATAGCTTTCTCCACAGCGCCGTGCCCTTCGTGGAATCTCATTCCCGTCGCCAATGGAGCACAAGCGCGACGCTGATGCAGCTGGCTTGGCTTGGCCTGGAAGCAATACACGAACTCAGAGTACTTCATTGCCTTCTGACGCATCTTCGTCGGCGGTATCTTTGAATCCACCGCCACAAGGGAATCCGATGTCCCCTCCAACCTTGGGATCTTCTTCGGCCGAGAACACTTCATTGACGACTTCCGGGATGTACTCAGCGGGACCTCAACCTTCGACTCCGTTCCCATCTACTGAACATCGCCATTCCCCTTCTCTTCATCAAGGCCGTTTCAGCGAACGATTGGTTCATCAGATCCACTTCAAGATCTTTACACACTCCAACAACACACAAGAACTATTCGTTATGGAGATACCGACAACAGGAATTTCAAGAACCAGAGATCCCGAACATTTCTTCTATGCCATGTCTGGACAATGGGAGTGGTCCCAGCGCACGGCTGACTACTGGCGCCACTACTTTGGAGTGCCCATGCGCCATGGAACCAACCCCTTCAGACATGGAACCGGCCATCGCCCAGACACCGCAGCCGACCGTTGCTGCCTTGCATGGCCACACAGCTGCATGAACGTTTGTCGGCAGCCTTGGCATCTGGGGAACTTGCAGATCAATGGAGAATCGTGCAGCGAATGACCTTTTCTGACGCGATTCAGACCCTCATGATGTCACAAAGCACGTCTCACGAGGATGCCGATTGAAGATCAGCAACAATTGCATTTGCACCGCCTGGTATTTTCCTGTACCATAGACCCGAACTCGTCGACTCTTCCAAAAAAGGACAAAACCCTGCCTTGGCAGGGTGGGTGTGTGTGACATCTGAACAGATGTAAAACTTCTATTGTTTTTATCAATTTTACTTACAGGGGGCATGGCAGCTGTTTCCCTAGCCATGCCAACGAAGCTATGGGATCCAGCCGGAAGGGAATGTGGAATCACATTCCTGTACCTGCATTTTTGCCGTATGGCGTGGGGTCAAGCCAAGAACCCCAATCACAGCAATTTCATGTGCACACGGTCGCCGCAATCTGGACATATTGTGGGTGTTATGTTACTCATGGTCCTTGATGATGACTTCGTTTTATTCTACGACTTTGGGGACTATTGTCATGGTATTGTTCGTCTTCCGGGAGTACCTCCTATTGGTCCACTAATTCATCTAGGAATTTTTGTTTTCCTGACTCATTTGAATGCTACAGGACTCAGCTCCTGACGGATCTATTCAAAGATCCATTCTTGTCTAGTGTGTGTCTGTGTGTGTGAGTGTTTGTGTGTGTGTGTGAGAGTGTATGTTGAGTGTATGTGTGTGCGAGTGATGTGTATTGAGTGTGTGTGTGTGAGTGTGTGTGTGTGTGAGTGTGTGTGTGAGAGTGTGTGTGTGTGGATGGAGGAGGAGGAGGAGCGGGAGGAAGGAAGGAGCGGATACAGAACTAAAAACAAAAACCCCACACGTCAATGTGGGGAACAATCAAACAAGCAAATAAATAAACACATAGAAAGAAAGATAGATAGATAGAAAGACAGATAGATAGATAGATAGATATATAGATTACATCACATACCATTGCCCTGCATTGCATTGCATTACAATTACATTACATACCATTGCATTCCATTGCATTGCGTTGCATTACATTACATGACATTGCATACCACTGCATTGCATTGCATTACATCACATTAAATACCATTGCATTTCATTGCATTGCATTACATTACATTACGTTACATTACATGTTTATACATTACATCACATACCATTGCATTGCAATACATTGCGCTACACGACAGTGCATGACATTACAGTACATTACGGTACACTACATTACATGCCCTTGCATACCAGTGCATTACATTACATCACATTGCATACCATTGCGTTGCATTGCGTTGCATTGCATTACATTACATTGCATACCACTGCATTGCATTGCATTACATCACATTACATTACATTGCGTACCACTGCATTGCATTGCATTACATCACACTAAATACCATTGCATTGCATTGCATTGCATTACATTGCATTGCATCACATACTCTTGCAGTGCATTGCATTACATTGCATCACATACCATTGCATTGCATTACATTACATTACATCACATTACATTACATACCATTGCATTGAATCGCATTGCAGTGCATTACATACCATTGCAATGCATTACATTACATTGCATCACATACGCTTGCATTGCATTGCATTACATTGCATTACATACCATTGCATTGCATTGCATTGCATTGTGTTACATCACATTACATATCATTGGGTTGCATTACATTACGTTACATACCATTGCATCGCATCGCATCGCATTGCATTGCATTGTATTGCGTTACATCAGATACCATTGCATTGCATTGCGTTACATCACATTACTCATCATTGCATTGCATTACATAACATTACGTTACATACCTTTGCATCGCATCGCATCCTTTGCATTGCATTGCATTGCGTTGCATTGCGTTGCATTCCATTGCGTTGCATTGCGTTGCATAACATGACATTACATTACATACCATTGCATTGCATCACATGACATTATATACATAGCATTGCATTGCATTGCTAAACATCACATTACATACCTTTGCATTGCATTGCATTACATCACGTTGCATGCCATTTCATCGCATTGCATTGCGTTGCATTGCGTTGCATTGCGTTGCGTTGCATTGCATTGCATTGCATATCATTGCATTGCATTGATTATATCACATCACGTTACATTACATTACATTTCATTACATAACATACTAGGATCATATATTTTGCCTGTGCATGATGTTCTGCTGGATTTTTGGCCTTGTTTGTTGCACAAAAGTTTTGCCGCCAACATCAGGCCATGCAGAGCGAACAGCGAGTCCTGATCGCCCGATATTGCTTCCGCAAAGACTCTCAGCCACGGATGGTGGCCCTGATCCCGAAGAAAGGACAGCAACAGGTTTTTGATTTAAAGTGGCAGTAGTTCTGGAAAACAATATGTATTTTTCATTTCAATCTCACATGGTTCTTTTCTTCAAACCGAAGGCATTTTTGATGAACCTGGGTTTCCAACGGTTGCAACGGCCGACCAGAACCTGGATGTTCTGCACAGATGATCCTGCACTACTTGCCTTTCATGGAAGACATTCGCTCCTCAGCTGAGAAGTATTGGGCACCCCTGTCTGCCGCAGAACCACTGGGGGATAATTGGGGGATACAAAAAAAAAATCAGGTGCCAGTACCAGGGCGCCACAGTCTAGGAGATGATTTTGCGCACAGACTTGTTAGACTTATTTGTTCATCAAGGGATTGCGGTGAACTCAGCATTTTTGCGCGCCAAGGTGAATGGACGTGTGCATCTCTTCCGGACGGGCCGGGCCGTGGTTGCCAGGAAACTAGTTTGAAGAAACCATAGTGCCACATGAGGTTGTTGTTTTTCCATTCTGTGCAGGTTTTTTTCCCCTTTCCAACAAGGTTTTTCCTTGTACACATACTATGGTCTCAATTGATTTAAACCAGAAGATAATGTTCCCATAGATTTGTTACAAACCGACAGTCTTGCGCTGCTTTCGAAGGAATTGTTTTGCGTTTTGTTTTTTATGAGTCGCAGTGGTTTTGGTCCTTTGTGCCGAGACAACCCAGGTTTTCCACTTTGTCATACCTCGATAAGGTGTGAGTATCCAGTTCAAATCGAAGAACTGAAACCAATCACAGTCAGATTCTCTGATGTCAGGAGCCTAGTGGCGATCAAAAGGCCTTCGCGAACACCCTCGTGGATGCGATGACCTTGACAGGTGAAAGAGAATTGCTGAGGTCAGGCATCCAGACGGTAGGACCAACATGGGGCGAGCAAGAGTGCAGCTTTGGTCATGATGTTTGGAACCCATCAACGTTGGAATTGAAGGACTAGCTTAGTGTTTTTTTTTTTCTGAAGACCATTCCCTTAGCGCTTTGGCACAGTCAAAGTCGGTACTCTGATGATCCACACAGGACTTTGGTTTACTCGCGCTTAGACTGTGTGATACAATTTCATGATGACTTGCCCAGCTCGAGGCCAGAGGACACCAACAACCCCTCTCTTGCACGCTTCTACGACTTCTTGGGCCAACGTGCTCTTGATCCAGGCATCATGGCATATGTAAAATCAACACAAAAGGATACAAAAGGTTTGTACAAAAACTCTTCGAGTTACATTGCCCATGCCATCACAATGGGCCACAGAAGCAAATGTAACAGATGTTCACTGAATGTTTTTGTGCATGTGTTGGCAGCTTGCGGAATTTGATGAGACACATCAATGAAGGTGCCATAGGACTGTATTCAAATTTTCTATTGTGAGGTGAGGGCCCAGGGTTGGTTCAAACGATTTTTGCAGCTTTCCCGGAGTGGCCAGGGGCAAAGCTGCTGGCAGCTGCGCCAGATCAGTCCCAAATCCTCGAACCACCAGAAGAAGCACAGCAAGCTTTAGCAAAGGTCGGGCAGGGGCTATGAGTTGAACTGGGTACTGGCGGCCCTTACCTTATTGGTTGCAGTCCGCGACGAACCACCGTAAGGTTTTGGGATTCATTGTCTCGGAGAAACTCAGCCAAAGACTTGGAACAACTTGTTGCAAGATCCTTGGTATCCTTTGAGCCCCTGTCTCACTGCGATGTGTTTTTACAATTTGTCCCATGCTGTTCTATGAGGACTTCGCGGCCAACAGGCTTTCCAAAAAACATGTTGGCTACTGTATCTGTATGCAGCCTGTTTCCTGAAGGAATCCGGTTCAGTCGTGGTTTCATTTTGTTGTCCGGGCCTCATAGACCCATGAAGGATCGTAAAGGGTCCTTTGTTTAAATTCATGAGCCCAGACATTGCCGCCATGTTTTTGGAGATGTTTGCGTTTCTTGCAGGCGCTTCCTGAAAACGAACGCAACAAAGTGAAGACATTGTTCGGCCAGAGCCCAAAGTTTCAGGGATAACGGATGACCTCAATCATTTCAGGATAACCCCAATCATGCCTACATTTGATAAATTCAGTCCGCTAAGATGGCAGCACAAGTCGTCATTTCTGTAAAAAAGAAATCGAAATCGAAGACCTTTGTGATGGTTTTGGAAGGCCCTCCTCATTGCCAGGGAGGGGTCGATATGCAAGGCCTGGAAAAGGTGGAGAAGTCTGCCGGACGTGAACGCAAGCGCTTCTGGCGAGAGGCCGGGATATATCCCATGCTGATAGGATCATCAGGGGATGCAGACAATGAATATGAATTTGGCGACCTAGTGCTCACAGAGTTGGACGAATTCAACAACAGCGCTGACAGCAGCAAATCATTTGTTTTCCAGTGCGCTGTGTTCTAGCCTCTTCAACCTATGTAGCAGGGATTCTCGATGCATAAGGGGGGCATGTGATGCCTTGTCTCAAAACAGGCAATTGCCGAGAAGACCAAAAATTCTGCTGCTCTGATCGGTGAAGTGGACTCTTGGATGGATTGTCCTTAGCTTGAGTTACTGTGCCCACAGTTTCGTCCCACCCATAGATGCACCAGGCATTGTTAGAAGCTAGCCCGTCAGGAGGGTTGGCACATCTATCCAACATTCTCCATATTTTCCATGGTAATTGTGTTTTCTTCAAGGTGCATTTTGTGTTATCTACCAGGTTGTGAAAATTGCAAGCCGATTGACAGTTGTTTCTTCTTGTAGCTGATTTCTCGGTAACAGCCCCCAGGACACCAAGAAGATCAAAGTAGATGCGTACACAGGTGCCAAGAAGAGCGAGGAAAAGGACGAAGATAAGGTGAGGCGGTGCAATTTTCAAGGAGGCTTCACATTTTAACGAAGAGTCTTTTGGGCGGAGCATCAAAGTTGAATGCTGCTTGAATGACACTCAACAGAAGTCCAGAATGAAATCTGACCCCCGCCTGAAGTTGTAGTTCCAGTGAAACAAAACATAACAAAACCGAGTTGCCATTTGTCAAATCTTATTCTGACTTAAAGCATAAACTGGGTCGTGGAGTTCGTGGACGGGAGTTTTAGTGGAATTTCTTTCGATGAACAGTTTCCAACTCACAAGAGGAGCTCTAAAGGCAAGTTTTGTCTCCTGTGCGGTGCTAGCTAGTTAATCCAACTGAGTGGCTTTCATGATGCCAATCTTTCAATGCGTCCAACAAAAAATGGAAATGGATCAGGTTCGGCAGATGGGTGTTGCATAGTGTAGCTCCGAAATTGTCTCCCGACCCAGAGTTGTGGCAGGCGCCTTTGCGAGCAGTCAAAGGGGAGGATTCGCAAGGCCAAGGCATCCAGGATGGATCGGATGGTGCTTGGCAGCTGGTCAATTTCTAAAGTCATCAATTTTAAGTCAAGTTGTAAAAGCGGGAATGAACATGAATGAAAGTTAACGGAATTCGGAATTTGGTGGCTTCTTAAAGCACCCAAGCCAATCCTACGACTTCCCCAAAGGTCATCAAATGCAGCCAAACCTTTCATATATAAAGGGGTGGTCAAACTATCAGTCTCAACTCCCAACCCCTCCATTTTTCGAAGATGGTGTGTGATTGTCCAAGCTTGAAGTGTTAGCCCTCCACTCTCCTCAACGCTTTCATGTTGGTGTTGATCTTGAAGATACCAACATAAAGATGGGCATGTCTTATCAGGTGGGAACCATGTAATTTTCAAATTACTTGTGTAATCCACAATGCGCAAGCCCGCTCTGCTGCTGCAGATGACAGCATGGCTGTTGCTGTGGGTGTTCCTCCAAGAGTGCCCTGGCTTAGATGCTCTTCTGCGACCTGGTGTTTCGGGGTTTGCAAGCAGTTCAGAAAGAGTCGGCAGGCTGGAAAAATGAGGACGATTTGCGCGCATTAGTGTGCTCAGACCTCAGGTACATATTGGCTCTGTGCATCCTGAGCGGGACTTCGAACGCTGGCTCAATGAGCGTCGCACGGGCGGCGTGGATGTGGTGGCGCCTGCGATTGAGCCACTAGTGCTGACACCATGGGAACACACTTGGGGCTTCACATGCTCAGCAATATACAGCTTTTATATAGTCTCGGCAAGCGGCCTATGAGTAGTCTGCAGTCAGGCAATGAAGTGGCAGTCCATTTGATCACAGTAACGCAGGGTGGGGCACTGCCACAGACTCCGATTTTTGACGAGTCTGTCTCGTTTACAAGTTTTTTTCAAGGCAGTCGCTCTGGTTGGGCGAGCAGTCCGTTTGGTCATGAGTCATGATGAGCATGGAGTAGTTACAGTGGCATACAGTGGCATACAGTGGAAATATAGTGAGTCAGAATATTTGCACCTTCCAACTCTGTAGCTTTGACAGCACGTTTCTTCCCCACGCAGTGACACATGTTTTTTTGGGGGGTTTCAGGGCCATCGATCAAGGCAAATGTGCGATGTCATCCTGCGCTTTGCCGAAGAGGGTGAGGAATTTCATGGGAAGGCGTCCGGTGAAAAGTGCATTTTGTCAGGAAGGGCTGGAGTTGATCACTTCATGCGGTTCAGGAAGTTCAGTCCAGAAAATATCTTCAATGCTACAAATGCAATACAAAATAATACAAAATGTACCACTGCCCAAACCATTGCCAACCTCATGATGTGGTCTTCATCTTTGCTGCCAGGCTTTGGCTTGTTTGGCTACTTTGCGACGTGGCTGCGTGCGTGGCTTGACAGGGAAAGTCGCTCGAATCTAGAGTCCTGGAATTGAGACTGCCTGCAATTCCACAGGAAGAGGTTGGAGCTTGCTCCAGTCTCCCAAGATGGTTTGTGATGTTCAGGCTTAGTATTGTTTTGTATTCAATTTTTGCAGTATCTTTGCTGTGCTTTCCACTCTGGATGATATAAAATGTTCACGCCAATGGTGTGCACATTTGGTCAAAGAAACCAAAGTGTCATGCTCGAGGCGGGAGTCTTACTTCTGAACTCATTGCATTTATAGGACATCATGGGACCACATGCTTGCCATGCTCAGGTGAAGCTGAATCAGCTGGCTACAATGAGTTGCTCGCAGAAAGGTGCAGTTGCAGATGTCAAGGGACCACCCAGCCCACAGAAGGACCGGTGGATTCTGAATGAGTCAGAAATCAGAAAGTTGGACAAATAGAGACAAAATGGGCAGGCACGGAGCAACATACTGAGATTGAGGCTTGAATCAAAGTCACTGAGAGGCGCTCACCACATGCCTGCGCCCACACAAGCCACACGCGAGCGCATTGCGTCAATACAACTTATTTCTGTAGATGACACGGTAGAGGGTTGCGTGAAATTTGTTGCAGTTTGACCCTGAAATACGTTGGAGTACACTGCGTTTCTCTTTGCAGCCCGCTCCAGAACTTTCCATCGCATAACAATAGCTTGCAAACTTCACACGGGCACACTAAATCACACAATCGCATATTACGCAGAACATAGTTGCATCTTTAAAAAAACAGGGGGTGAAACCATGCACACATACAATCCAACATCACACGCACACACATTGAACGCATGCAGTCAACTTTTGCAAGAGGGCCAATGCGGAGGGAAACATAACACATTTTTGGCACAGTGCAGCCTGGCATCAAGCTTGGACACATGACTTGGCACATGATTTGGCGATGTACTTTTGAGTATCGGGTAATGGTGGCTTTGATGTTTTCATATCTTCTGGTCGTGAAATTCTATGAAATTTGCTTTGCATTTGGGAGAACAAAATGTTACCGCCTCAGCCTGCAGAATTTCAAACTCTAATTTTCAGGGTTGGAGCTGCTGACCCAGGTTCTTGCGAAGGCTGCGACTGCGTCTCACGCGGCGACAGGGTATGCTGTGGGAGCGGGTTTGCCAGGACTCGTGGATGTGGCCTGTGACAGTTTTGGGGAGATCGCAGTTTCGCTTTTCATCGTTTTTCAATGAAATACGTAAAGCAAAGAACCCTCTGACGTTGGGGCTTGCCACTTTTGCAAATGCATTGGCACAGTAATAGGACACAGGTTTGGGCCTCATCACCGATACTGAAGTGGCTGGGAGCCTAGAATTTTGCGGCTTCACCTCTGAGTCTCTGAAGAGTTGGGTCAGATACTGCCACCTTAGAAGCCGAGAATTCGTAGTGGCTTTAATTTTTTTGTTTGGACATCTCCACTAGAGCAAGACACCTCCTCCCGGAGCCCCTGAGGTCACCAGTACAGTCACCTCCGTAGAGGCCAAGGCCTTCCTTGAAGGGAAAGATGTGTCGCCATCAGCCACCGCTGCGGCATCAGCAACCGCCACAGCACCAGGAACAGCACCAGGGGGAGCTGATCACCAGATGTTTGAATTACTCGGCTGAGTTTGTTAGTCCATTCGGCAGCACATGTCTTTATGATTTTGATTGGTTTTGTATGCTTCTAGTTTGCTATCATCCGTTTTGAACGCTGTGATAGATGTTGTGATGCAATTCCAACAAGTTCCTGTGGGTACTGTTTAAGTGCCTTGTGCCGACGATAATGACGGAAGTGAGGATGCTGAAGTTGGTTTGTCAGTGATGTCCCTTGGAGGAGTTCCAGCGACTGCACTGTCGGAGCGGGAGCTTGAAGCCATGATCGAGTGAGCTGCTGGGCCATTGAACATGGAGAAGATGTGGAAGCATAAGATCACCATCTCTGGACATGCAACATAGATTCACATAGTCAATTTGACGGAATTTGTGCCCCTGCCATGCCAATAGTTTTTTGCAAGTTTCTTTTCTATCCTCCTTTCCGATGCATGTTGGACCGACATCGGTTTCTGCACCTTGGAAATGTTTCATCACCAGAATCTCATAGAAAACTCTTGCGCTGCAAGTGACATTGAAACATTTGAAAGCAGTGAGCCGGCCTCAATATCCTGTCGCTGTATTACTATGTTTCTATGTGTCAGTACCTTTTATTTGTGGAATGCAAGCTGCCGTCCGTGTTGCCTTAACCAACGGCTTTTCTGAGAGATGCAGACACTGCATCAGTCACTGAGCGTGTGCAGCATGCTGCGGCAACTAAGGGATTGCAGTGGTTTATTTTGGATGGGTTCATTGGGGCTGAGGGGGAGCAAGTGGGCAAAACCATGTTGATGAAGTGTCATAGATCATGATGCAAATCCAGTCATGTTTGAACAGCTTTCCGGTGATGCCCACTTCCAGCACTAGAGCATTCCATTGTGCTGTACAGGGCTTTAGGTTCCAATGTGGGATTCAAAGCCACGCGTGGTGCGCAGCTGAAGTGTTTGCCGTCAGCTGTTGGGCTTTTGGTTTGTGCAGCCTCAGCCGCCAACTGTAGTGATTGTGCGACTTCGTTGGACAACTTAGTTGCATAGATTCGGATCAGCCCAACATGCCTGAAGTGCAATGGCGGTAGGTTTGATAGCTGTGCATCCATCAGCTCGGGGAAAACGTGAGGTGGTAGCAATGGGCGCAGAGCTTGGGAACTGGGAACAGCATATTTGGATTTTTGCAATATGAGGCATGAGCAGGTTGAAAGAGCAAGCATTTTTCAGGAACCCAGCAGGAATGACCTGGAATCTGCCTAGTTTTCACATCAGCAAAGCCAAGTCCTCCACTCACCAGACTTGGCAAGGCAGCAGAACTTGATGCAGCTGAGGAGCGCCTCGTGCTTGGCTGGGAGCCCAAGGGCATGTATTACAATGGGAAGATGCTGCCGCGACATTCGCAGATGACAACGCTTGGAGGGCAGGAGGGACCTGAAGATATTTCTTTTACTTTAATTTCAACCCAAAAATTCCACAGTGCATTTGACAACTTCTGGGCTTTGATCATTTGGGTGCCGCAGCAATCTGTAACGAGGCGAGGCGTGCATTGCTGATGCCTTCAGCATGGTTGAGACGGCCGATGGCTGGAACCCCAGAATGTCGTGTGCTCTTGCTGGAAGCCTTGCTTTGCAAACCTGTCCGGCAACCTTTGGGTGTGTTGTGGGTTTGCAGGGTCCAGTGAGCTGAGCTTGCGGTCATGCCAGGTAAAATTTATAAAACGTGCCAGGTAAAAGGTAGCCAGTTTTCTTCTCCTTTCAGCGCCCGTGGGCCTGCCAGACTTCCACGACGAGCTCGCTGATTTGGCACAGGCTCGATTCCCTGCGACACCAATCACGCTCCCTCTGCATTGAAAAAACATTGAGCACCTCAATCACGTGTTGGCTGCCGAGTCGAAGCATTTTCATGTTCAATTCTTCGTCGAGAATCAGTAGAACCATAAGTACAATTTTCAAGTAAGATCTTTTGATTTGTTTCGGTTTTCAACAATGATACTTTTATAAATAATACGCTCACCTTGGCTCTGCTTGTTTGCTGATGTGCTGGCTTGCCTGCTGATATCTCAACACTATTGAGGCCTTGGCCAGGCAAAAGGCAGCTCTTGAAGTGGCTCAGGCGGGGGTATGCCTGACACTTTCCGGTTCCTTACCTTTGCCCAAGAACCCCCAGTGAAACGTAGTGAAACCAGATGTACTTGTGGGATGAGTTCAAGACCAGGTGATGCCATTTACAGCTTTCAAGAGCGATTGGCAGGTTTTTCCCTGAACACTTGTGGGTTGCAGGAGCGGAGAGATGCTTGGCAGGACCAGGCTTGGCCCTGTGGGATACTGCAGTGGGCCAAGGTTCACGCCGCAAGTATTCCAACTCAAACGTCCACATTTTGTTCATGCTTGGTGGATGTTGGGAGGGAAGAGGTGAGAGAAAGGCATGCACAATCCAAAGATTCATTTCGTGGTATTCAGATGGGGCTTTCCATTCGTACAATTTAAGTAGGTGGGTGTACTTTTGCGTTGTCAAGCTATAGTTTGATTCCGTTCGATGCTTTTGGGATTTGGCCCCAGCTAGTAATTTTCCGCTTGATTTGGGATCTTTAGGGGGCGACCTTTTTCTCTGTTTTTGGGACCCTTTTTGGGCGCAAAAAGGTCGCCCTTTTTAACCCCTTTCGCAGTGCCAAACCAACGGGAAAATTACCAGCCCCAGCCATTTAGCATCTGCCGGCCAGAGGCCTCTGATTTGCGGCACCTGTTGGCTTCTGCAGAGGCTCGAGCTGTACAGCACGGAAACTCAGCGGCTGCGAGGTTAACCAGCCAACATGGATCCAACACAGACTGGGTCTGGTTGGCTGCTCTAAAAATGTTATATTTCAATCATTTTCAAACACTGTTTGGGAGGAGGATCGTTTTTGATTGGGTTTGCCACGTTGTCGTTGGAACATTCTAACAATTTCCCCATTGTAGTGGGGGAAGAGATGGACCATGACATGCAACTGAATGTTTTGATTTAGAGTTTCATGCGTGTCCCGCCATTTCAGGAACTACGAGTAATGCGTACTGGATGTTTGTCAACTTCTAAAATCCACCGCAAATGCGGTCATGGTGCTGAGGAGGATTTTATGGGCTCAATTTGCAGGAGTCGTAACTAGAAGGAACATTTTGATTCTATCCCAGAATGACATCATCATGCTCGAACGCCGCAGAGCAGCGGTAGACTTGCACCTTGTGGTTTGGCCCTTTTCAAAGGGCCCGAAGATCTTATGGTTTCTGCAAGTTCCTTGAGTTGGGTAGCAATGACCTTGTGGAAAATGAACGGTCCCAGTGGGAGCATCAAGCTGATTCCAACTTTCATGCCTCTCAGCGCACCAAAGGTTAGAAAAGAAATTGACCAGCAGTGGGGCTCTTGGAATTTGACCTGGAGCAATGGTCCCAAGGGAAGGGAGACTGGCCAAGTCATTTGGGGGGCCTTGGCAAGGGTCCTCATTCCGACCTGTCTTAAATATTAGGGGCGGTTTGCGGGTCCAATGTTTGCTGGGCTGAAACGTTTTGTTGCAGGCCTCGAGCCCCAAGGTTCCAAATCGAAGGCGGCAGATGCCCTTGACGCCTTGAGGCACACCAATGGGCCATGGAAGGGGGGGGTAGTAGGGCAGAGATGAAATGAGGTACAACAGTGTTTTTCAGTCATTTCATGGCAGTAAGATGGATGACGGAAGAGAAGGGTAGGAAACTCCATACTACTCTGCTTAGTTTTTTTAAAGATGTGTTCCGCTATCAGAACTGTACTTCAGAGCCAGAAGGGTCTCAGGGGTCCCTCACCCTCCTCCCCCCACTCACAAATTCAATATATCATATACATGCGGAGAGTATATGTGTATCTATACGGATAAGCATACTTGTGCATCGATATGTATCACATACACATTGTTGGATAAATCTTGGTGTAGGACTGGCGGTGTCCGTCCCAAACCATGTTGTATTTGGCTTTGGGATGACTCTATTCCGACATCTTAGGGGAATTCCAAAGCAAAGGTGCAAAAGCAGAAGCAAGTGAGATGTCTAACCGATTCTAACCCTCAATTTCTGATATGCAGAATTTTGAATCTCTCACCTGCAAGGCAGAGTGGCTATCAGGGTGCAGCTGCCTTGGCAGGGAAGCCCAGTGACCAGTGTTGTGCGTGGGCTGTCCCCAAGGTTCTGCAAAACAAGATGTCAGCGCCAATGGAGGGTTCTTGGAAGGCCCTCACCAAGAAACATGGTGTATTTGACGTCCAATGCAAGGCAAAATGTAGTGCTAGAGCTGGGTGTGTCCTTTCCATGGTCGTGGAACTACTGGATGCTTCATGTACATTGATTTGCAAGAGGCGCATTTCAAGGAATCACATTTGAAGATAGATTCAGCCGACTGTGCACTACCATGAGTTTGCTGGGCAAATGCGCCCAGTTCCAGGTGGTGGTCTTGGCAAGGCAGGCTTCACTGAAGCACCCCGTGAGGATTGAGTAGCATGGTCTCTGTCGAACACTTCTAGAATGATTCAAGAACTGAACGTTCAGACATAAATCACCATGCAACTGGAACAGGTCAGGCAATGAGAATCCCATTTGATTATATATATATATATATATATATTTGTTTCCGCAAATTTAGCCAGTCGGGACGGGGTCTGACGGAGAAGAATCATGCCGCTCCAGGCTGTGTGGAGGGCCTCGTCTGGCGTTCCTTGTGCCTTGGTGTTGAAAGGTCGTAAGACCCCCTTTGGTGTTGAAAGGCCATTGCCAGGCAACGGCAGAGGGATTGTTCCGGGTTCAGCTGTGCTCAGGCCATTGATGCCAACAATAGTGGTGCTGTGAGCACGTGCCGTCCTAAGCAAAGCCATGAGAAGAGAAGAATCTTGCTCTGGACGAATTTTCAAAGCAGAATGGCTGACGAGATCCGGCTGGTAGGGTCGCAGTCGTTTTTTTTAGCAGTTGGTTTGCCCGAGTAATCCAGCTGCCATGAAGGCGAATCAATGTACTGGTTGAGAATCATATTCATTTCCTCCCAGGCCACCCCATTCATATGCCACTCGCAAAGGTATGAGTTTGATAGCGCTCTTCGTATGCGATTGGGGTTGGACTATGAGGCGAGGAACTGCTTCAGCATCCATGGTGCAGGATCAAACGACACTTCTGGTTTGAACTTCGGTCCATTCTGCATGTCCAGCCACTTGGACCATTTGATTATCATCAAAACAAGTTTTTTTTTCAAGCGCCATGACCAAGTGCAGATCCATTGAACCCACGGAATTTGAGGTAGCACATGAGTTCGGGCCCTTGAATTGATGACATGCCCGCCATTGTCACAGCAACATCAGGCAATCACTGGATTAAAGCTACGGAGCCTTTTCAAGGCAGGAAGTAACCGGCCATGCGGCGGAAGTTTCTGAATGACATAATTTTACATTGTCAATGAGCTTTTTACACCTGTAACAGGGACAAAATCATCCACGGAAGACGAATATCTTTTTTTGTTGGAACAGTTTGTGCCAACCAGATGGAGGCCATGTGCAAGCCGTCAGCTACATGTGATGTGGTTAATCAGCACCGGTGCAATTCTTTGGGGGGCAAATGGATCAATGTATATCAATGTCAAAAAATGTCCTAAAAGATCGAACACTTTCACCTTTTTCATCCATTATTTTCAATCTTCCAAAAAAATCAACCACTGTTTCAACATGTTCCCAAGGGTTATCACACTGCGATTGTGTCCCAACCTTCAGGCCTTTGATACGCGTCACTGCGGTTTGGTGTATGGCGTCGACATGGTCAGCAACAAACTCAGCCGCTCTTTGCGAAAGGAAACTTAGACTAACTGACTAAATAACTTCTTTTTGTGTATATACATTATTAAATATATATATATATGAGCAACCGTAAAAACCCCGGCAATACTAAATATGTATTCGACGGACATTGGCTTATGGAAATTGATGGAAATTGTTAAAAACACGAGGTAAGCGATGGGACCTTCCCAAATTAGCGATACCCCTTTTCAAGGTTATGTCATCATATTTCTCTTATATCCACATTAGCGATACCCAAATATCACATATTATTCATAGTTCATCATATATATATATATAAATA